AATCCATCACCACACATTGCTTCCTTTGACAATTCGGGGAGGGCGAATACATCTGCACATTTATGGATTCTTACTTTATAAATAAATGAAAAATGTAAAAATCCTTCGCCTACCCAGTTTTGTGCTTCGGGGAGGGACNGTGTTCTATAACCATCCTTCGCACTTCAGCTCCATCATAAACTAGAAAGACTAGCAGGGAAGTACCGTTCGCTGAATTTTTACCTCAGTTCACCAACAATAAGTCTATCAAACGATCATATTTTGAATTGAAAAGTTGAAAAGAGTGACTCGGCATGAGTAAGAGTACCTGTTTCGTGAATTCATGACAGATAGTCTGAGCGACTTGCACTTTCGTTTCAATGGAATCCACTTGAGGATCGTAGAGAAGCCGGTCTTCGCGTACCAAAATCAATCCATCACCACACATTGCTTCCTTTGACAATTCGGGGAGGGCGAATACATCTGCACACTTATGGATTGTTACCTTACAAATAAATGAAAAATGTAAAAATCCTTTGCCTACCCAGTTTTGTGCTTCGGGGAGGGACGGCAAGGTACTTCTGTAGGAATTCGAACGCTTTGACAGACGTCTCTAAGGCATGTCCGGTTAGGTTGATGGCTTCTGGACGGGCATACACCCTGATCTAAATGATAGCCATTTAAAATTCATTATTAAATATTAGAAACAGTTCTTCTTTTCCTTATTTACACCTTCTGTTAGGTCGACAACAAAATAATTGCCCATATTCAGCAATATATTATGTAGCTACAGTAAAATTGAAACCAAAAATCAACGAAAGAAAAACCAATTCAAAGCGAATGGTTGTTAAAAAGCGCGCTCAGTAAGGGGTTATGCTTTCATCAACAGATTTATGCCCCGAAAGATGGTATGCAGTCATTGCGCGGCCCTGAACTTGGATCACTACCACGTGAACGGCGCTGCATTGCGCTGCGCCACATGACAACTCGAGGTTTCGGCGCCAGAGCCTCCTATCAAAACTAGTTGGGGACTTCTTCTTACCTTTGTTCCAGTGTCTGTAGTAGTTTGTGCTTTATCGAAGTTTGTCAAAGTGAAACCTGTCGATGATGTGGGTAATGACCGTGCAACGTCCAAGGACGTCTTTACCCATAATGGATCAGACCTTGAAAAAGTTCGTTCAACGGCTATTACTTGTACTATAACTTTGCTACAAACTACTTATTATCAGTAGCACCTACGTCGGCTCTGCATCCGTGATTTCCATTGCATTTCCTCTTGCTGTTGTGCCATTCGGATGAAGAATGGTCAATGTCAAAGGGGCTACGAAATTTGGTTCATCAAAAGATGGAAATAATTTTCGAGCCGATGCCGGTTGACAGTCCATAACGGCTAGCAAACTGGAAATTGAGCTTAGCGATAAATTCACATAACCATGTATATTGTATTATGAAATGATAACGATCGAAAATTCTCCATAGATGTCGGACACATGGCGCGATCTATGAAGTAAATGGTCACCAAGAAAGTTCTCACATTTATTCTTTCCTGTGGACCAAATATGAGTGATAAAAAAATTCAGAAAATGCACCTTACCTGCTATCTCCGTCGCCTTTCTTGTAGCTTGAAAAGAAGATTCCTGTGAGATTGTCTGGAATTTGACCGCTGAAGGGTAGCTAAAAAAGGTTTGTACTCGAGCGATATATCGAAGAAGCTCATTAGTCCTATCGAAAGTGAAAAAAGTTCAAGTCAGTTCAAAAGATCTTTGAATGGGTTGTGCCATTTATATGACACCAGCCATTTTTCATATGGGTTCGAACGAATATAATGGGTTTTAGAGAATTCTACCCTCGGTGAAACAGTTCACTAACAAGAAACACCGTCCCTCCTAAACTTGTCTCATGTCAATTGTCCACCGAAGTCATGCGCATGGCATATCCTCGGAGGGAACTTTGCAATTGATTTCAAAAGCCCTACCTGAAGAACTACAGAAGTTCCAGCTTCAAGGGGACTGTCGAGAGTAAAGAAGACTTTCTCAAGCGTGTTGTTATACAGGATTTTCTTCACTTTCGGTCCACCTTCAACAAGCATCAAACGTTTGACTGGACTCTCTATGGGTTCTTCCTCAACAATTTCCATTTCATTGGGAATTTCCCCTTTTATTTCCGTGGTATTCTTCAGTTTCTCCCGCGTGGAGTTAGCCATCCCGTCTTCAGTCGAATTTTTCACTTCCTGGAATACAGTGACGTCATCACTTTAAAATAACAAGTAGCATAGAAGAACTAATTGTTCAATGGTTCTACTTTGCAACAGAACATACCGGAGAGTCAATCATTGTCTGTCGCCTGGCTCTCTGAAAACGTCTTTTTTCAATTTGTGAACAGTCATCAACCAATTGGGAACATTTTTACGAGTAGATAAGTATTGGGCACTTACCGAAGCAGGTCGTTCTGTAAGGATTTTCACTTTATTGACATCCGTAGGAAAAGTGAGATCTTTGGCATTCAGCACTATCTGAAAGAACATTGACATCGCACAGAAAATCGATTTCTATCGATCATGAATCCTACCTCGTCGGTAGGTTTTTTTACAGCCAATCTGATCATAATGTTGCCATCTGTGGTGAAATTCTTTCCCTCAGGCAACTCCACATATCCAGGGAGGTACATCTTCAACGTTCCATTATACCTGTAACAAGGCGAAAATCCTGGGGAAGCCCGAGATCTCTTCCTTCAGTCATAGATATATTCTGCCGTAAATAACTTACCAGACCGGTTCAAGAGCATCTGGTAATCGAAGTTCTTCCACAGTTGGTCCCACAGGAGGCTCTTCTTCCTCATACGGTTCTTCTTCAACTATTATTTGAGTTCTGTAAACAACAATTTAGAGCTTCGGGGTTTCAAACATAGCCAATTTTTTAATCCATTTCCTAGCCAAAAACTCAACCGTAAATTTGGTTTTTTTTAGTACACTCAAACCAACAATTAATAGGATTGCCCAGCAATGTGTCGTAGAAACTAAAGGTGGGAGTTGGAGAGTCTGGGAAGCCCACTTCGGAGGTCAGCCAGACCAATCAATTCTATCATCTCTTCAAAAATAGTCTTCGTCCAATCAGATTTTTCCCGCGGTTTGATTCTGAGAGGAATGTAAGTTCGCGGGGCACTCTGCCGTCCTCAAAATTTCTCTGGTGCCCTTACTCGATGCCTCATCAAACGATTTCTTCTTTCTTTCTTTGCTCACTTAACCTTTCTTTTTATGGCGAGCACTTCACTAATGTTCCAAATCATATTTGTGAACTTTTCCAAGAACAGTATTCTCCGTCGTTCCAGACATTATGTCGGGTAAAACGGAGTGTAAAAGTTGCCATTCTTTCCGAATTTGCTAAATAGTTTAGTTCATTGTGGAACATAATCTGATAAACCTACGTGACTTTCAAAAGGCTTCCAAGCGACCATAAAAATCAAAATCTGAGAAAAATATAAAAATGGAAAAAGAGAAAGAAAAGGAGCTCAGTGTAGATCTTGATGAGCATGTTTGAAAAGAAAAGAAAACAGACGAACTTAATG